GTGATTCATGATGTGTATTGTATGTCCAGTCTTGGGTCTGGCTTATAAATCAAGGCATAAAGAATGAGAGACAATGAGGTACTTCTCCCAAATTATTTTCTCAGTGTATGCCCACCCTATAATCAAATTGCAATTATTAGTATATTGTTATTAATATTTAGATTGGTTCATTTATTTGTAACAGATAGAGAAAACCAGTGAAGGCTAGTGTTAAATTTTAGGCTCATCCACTAGGGCAACCAGGCAGCAAGGTATCAGAAAATTATGTAGCAGTGGGTAGTGTCTAGGGTTTAAGGACACATTGGCGCTCAATCCTGGCTGCAGATTGGAGTTATTTGGGGCACACATAAGCCATAATGGTGCCCAGCCTCAACTCAAGGCCAGTTAGATTAGAATCTCTGGGAGTGGGGACTAGGCATTGATACCTTTCAAAAGCATCCTAAGAAGTTCTAATGTATATCCAGGGTTGATCATCACTGGATTAGATGGTGGCATGGATAGGATGAAGGGAGGGAGGAAGCACCATATCCACACAGGCGAGGCCAGTGGAATGTTGGGAAATCTCTAGCAAATAGTCAAGGAAGCCAGTCTGTTAGAAATTCTTAGTCATCATATTATATTTGCAAATAAGCTTTCCTCCCTAAAAGGGAGCCTGCTTTAGTAACACAAAGTCTAGGTCTGGGAGTCCTAGGGCACAGGGCCATCACCCCTTCTAGCCTTACACCGGCAGTAATGTTTTCAAAGTGGTACAAGTTAATGCGAATGATAGAGAGAGGAATTTCAGCAAGCAAAAACCCTATTCTACTTTTGAAAGAGGTTATATACATGCTTGGTTCATATTTCAAAACTCACAAATAAGTAAATAATGCAAATTTTGCTCTCCTGTTCTCTGCTGTTCAGTTTCACTTACTGGGGAGAAGTCAGTCTTATGTGTACAATAGTTAATTCATGTTTGAGCAGGGTCATTTCCCTGTTGTTTTATACAAAGGGCAGTGTACAACTGTTAAGCACACTATTTGCATTTTTCTTTTTTTTTTCACTAAATAAATATCCTCAAGATTAGATGTTGTATACCCAACCATTGATAAAGGCAGGAGTCCTGTTGTAGGAGTTTAACAAATGCCATTGTCAGTTTTATCCTTCTTCCAGAAGAAACAAGCTGACCCTGCGGCCCCTGTCTGCTGAAATGAAATTTAGGACTAGTCCCTAAGGGATGTTGCTGTCTTCACTTTAAAACTGTGTGGAAACGTGCCTGCGGTAACATTCTCAGAAGCGTTCTAAACAACAAAACACAACACAAGAAAACAAAAAACAAAACAAGGTATACTTTTTAATCCCACCACAAAAAAGGCAAAAACTGCAGTTCACTCAAAAGTTTTTATGTCAAAATTTGAGAATCCATATGTAGCTTTGACTTCAAGCCTTAGGTAAACTGAAATCATAGGTTTAATAATACAGCAAATCATTTTTTCTCAATGGTTTAGCTCTAGTGTTGTAGGTCATTTTGCTGAGCTGCTGTTTCTACTACTTTCCTGTTGAAAACTTGACCTCATTGGGAATTATGTGAGCAGTCAAACATTACCTGGTTCTTTAACTCAGGATTTCTCATCTGCGGTCCCTTAGTATTAACACATTGAATGGTAAGTAGTAGAAAATTGTAAGTGGAAGTTAATTTTAAGGTTTTTGGTAACTGTATTGTTTTCTGTGTTTGTAACACCACCGACCACATTATAAATATTGGCAACTGATGTTTTATAAGTCTCTGATGGTAAAAATTCATGGTTTATAATAACCAAAAGCCTGCAGTCTCTGCTTCACCATTGTAGGGATTGCTTTCTGCCTTTGTTTTCTGGGCTGTAGCCCACTGGATAGACTTTAGTTTAGGGGAAGGACATAAAAGCAAATAGTAAGGACATGAACTTGAGTTTTGAAGAATTTTTAAATTATCTTTACCTTTTGGGTACATTACTACTTTTGGTATATATGTTATTTGTTAAAAATCCCTACAATCTTAAGATTTTCTCATTTTTTATGATAGAATAGAATTTGGGCCCCTGCTTCTTACTGAACATACAAGTTCTGAAATTAATGTCATTTTTTTCCAGGCAGCTCAACATAGTAATTACTATGCCACTGGTTACTTTAAAAAAGGCATCAGCACTGGATGGCATTGTTTATGTGTGCATGTCTGTCTGTGAGTGTATACAATCCTGTGTGTGTGCAGTAGAACAGGAGAGAAGAATATTAAAAAATCAGTAAGTCATCGAGTCACTTTCGTTTAAAGTACATAATCAAAGAGGCTTAGAGGCTTCGTTTCACTTTTCTAAAGCTACTTGTGGTGATAGTTGTTGAGAACATATGGGTCCTATGTTTAGACACAACTGACTGGCAACATCTTCTATGTAACCTTTAATAATATTGTATCACACAAACACCTATAATTACTAGAATATGAGATTCATAAGAGCAGAACCTTAACTGGCTTGTTCACAGAATTATTCCCAGAATTTAGAACAGTGCCACTAGCCCATAGTAGATGTTAAATAAATATTTATTAAGTGAATAACTATATTAGCATCACCTGACTTACTATGATATGTTTTGATGTGAATGATGGTTTCTGATGAAAGATTTTTTTTCTGCACTGCATAGTATTACCTGAAGTGTTTATATCATTCAGAACCTAATGTTGTGTTAATCAGCATCTAGTTGGGGGGAACAATAATTTCTTTAATATATCATCAGATTTGAGATTGAGCAGAAGTCCTTAAGAAAATAAGATGATTAAGAATGTAATTCGTTAAGTAATTCTAAAATAGGGATACATCACACTCATAGCCTTGAATGATCATCTGTGGAATGGACAATAAAATGCAACAACTGAGCCTTCCTGAGATCAACTAGCTTTCAAAGAACATTGTAAGCCTTTACATATCACATCCTTCAATATCTTGGTAGTAATAATATGTTATTGGATTTCTATGCTCAGTAAATAGAATATTGATGAACATTTATTTAGTGCAGTATTATAAGTACAACATTGGTTGTAATTTTATATTATTTATTAAAAGTATGGTAACATTTTAAACTAATATTTCTCATTCTTAAAGTATCATTACGGTTATCATTACACATCATTCATTGAAGGAACTGTAAAATACATCAAATTGTGCCTTCTATGTAGTAATTGTTATGGGATAATGTTTTCATTATGATGCTCATATCATCTCTCAGTGAGTGTATTGTCATTGCTCCATGACGCTGGCCCTGGAATTCAACTCCAATTGGCTATAAAATGTCTTTCGTTATGGGGGGGTCAAACTACTTTAAAATATATTCTCAGTGCTTTTAGCTTATCGAGGAAATATTGGAAAAGTGATTTATTCTTATTTAGCAGGCAAGAAAATGGCAAGTCAATTGCATAAGGTCAGTTGACAAATCATTTTTATGTGATTGAGGTCAAGTTTCCCAAAGTCACAATCTAGTACACCAGGGGCTGATCAGAGCCTAAAACAGATCAAAGAAATAGAAGTCAAGTGTTTACCTTGCTTGGTTAGAAAGAATAAAGTTGCTGAGTCATTTTTAGAATGATGTGCTTAAGGCTTAAAAATTTGTTAGTCAAACTATGTACATGAGTTGCCAGATTGTATACTATGTCAATGTGTTGATCTGTAGGAGGTGGTAATGAATAAATTGTAATCAAGTGTTTGGGATCATTGGAATAATAAAAAATGAAATTCTAGTTGCAATAGATTCTTTGATATTAAAAGAGCAAGAGAAGAGGCAATAGAACATAGAGTCCTAACAAAGTTTTTTTGTATTTTTATGAATATAATTACATTAAGGACTATTAAGAGTAACCATGAAAACATAAAAGTAAAATTGATATCATGCCCTATCAAAAATCCAATTAGAAGTGGATATTGAATCTAAATTTTTAGACAGTTATGGTCTGCCTCATATTATTATCCATTCATTTATTATTCTCTATGGGGAGAAGTCCAAGTTTACCGCTAGCAAATTTTTCCTCTTCTCACCTTAATTCAGTGTTACCCAAATGTGTTTTCCAGAATGTAAGATCCATGGGATGCTTGGATGGGAGATGTGATTAGAGATATTTAAAAAATGGTACATATATAACATATATTACCATTTCAGGCAACTTGCCTTAGAAATACAGGGAGAAGTAGCAGCAATGAGAATGGATTGAAGAGTGAGAGGATATGGCTGAGCCAAGATATTTTTGTAGGTCACTTCAAAATTTTGCAAAATTATTGATTTATTTAAATGCCATGTTCATTTTCTACTGTGCAGGAACATCCATTAGAATGTCCTTTTATATTACATAGTCTGTCAAGATTGTTAGATATTTATGCTTGACTTTCCCATTGGACATGTGTAACGTCATTTTGAGGCTGTGGAAAACATGCTCTCGGGGATATCATCATATTGGATTTTTTTTCTTTGATTCATGAAAGTTGCTTTCCATGGAGTGAGACATTTAATTTAAAAAGTCACTGCTCAGAAATCACTGTGATTCCAGATTTTTCTGTGTTCTCAAATATTTTGAGAGCTATTATTGTCACATTTAATAGTAATCATGAAAAAAAGATTAAAGTCAGAAATCAGTTAGTGAGTGTTATTTTCATTTAGCCCACCATACAAAACCACTTATTTTAATTTATTGTAAAATAGAAGATTGTTGGGTACAATTAATTTGAGTGAGGTGCACATTTTCTGTTTTTATCTTCCCAAACTTGAGAAAGGAAACATTGCAATGAGAAAAGCTCTTAGGATGCTGTAATGGGACAAAGCTTCTCTGATGCCTGAGCATTTATTTGGCTTGTTTTATTTATGACAGAACGTGGAATATTTTAAAACTAAGACTTGTTGAGAATCCCACTTTATTAAACATTTCTGTGTTAAATGTGTAAGTATTGAACCGTCCCTGAAACATGAGCCACTTCGCCCAGTGACATTTTAAATGATTCTCGTTGCAGGGGAAGCCTGTGGGTACACCAGATGCTGGTGCTTATTTCCGGGTGCTGGCGGAGCACGGAGTAGCTGCCTTGTTTACAGCGCCGACTGCAATTAGAGCCATCCGTCAGCAGGACCCTGGGGCGGCCTTGGGGAGGCAGTACCCACTGACAAGGTGAACTGATGCACAAGGCAAATTATATGAAAAACTGCAATCAGAGTGAATAACTGAATGTTGTAATTTTTTCTGGCACTGCAAGATCTCCTCTGGAAGAACCAAGATATTCTGAGTGTTATTAAGGATGATTGTTCTAAACATATCTTTGAAACACTTGGAATATTAACTATACTGTAGGTATTTTTCAATACTGTATCATGTTTCTTTTAGTTCAAATGCTACCCAAATATTTCTCTTTTTAATCTACCCTGCTTATATTTTTCTTAAACTAAAATGCTATGAATTAAAATGCATACATATGTGCATTTTATATATTTATGCATATATAACTGTTTTTTGAAAATGAAGAATGGTTTAAATAGAGGAAAAATATGATTTGGTTTCACATATACAGTAAAACATGAATTTTAAAGTCCAAATTACATTGGCTGAAAGAGTGCAGGAAATTATTTTTTTCTGTTTGCTTTATAATAATGTGCTCTGAGTAGTTTAGATATTTTTGTGCTGGCTTATAGACATAATTTTAGTTTAATGATATGTATATTCAAAGATAACTGTAGCAATTTGTATCTTCATGGCAGTTGAGGTTTATGTTGCTGTGGCCCAAAGGAATTAAAAATAGAAATCACAGACCAATTGCTGATGTAAGCAAGACGCTTTCAATTTGGGCAGGGTCGGTGGTTGTATTTGTTTCTTTTTCCTCTCTTTTCTATTTCATTAAAAAATAGATCTGGATTTATATGTAAATTTAGCTATAATCTAAAAAATACTATCTTATTAAAATAAAGGGTATTCATAAAATGAATCATATATTATAATTTTTATTCACCCTCTATTTGTTCCTTCATTTACGGCATTTCAACTGTTCCCCTCATTTTAGTCAAAAGGATAGAGACATAGATTTTGGTAAGTACATTGAGGGTGTGTATAGTCTTCGTGTCTTCAGACAGTTGCAGCTCTTTTGAAGGATCAGTGATTGCAGTTTGTTTTACAGTATGTCATTTCTGACACATGCATTCAGATTGCAGGGCATGAAGTATGTGACCAACTAGCCAAGGTCACTTATTTTGCTGTATCACCTTATTTTCCCCCCTGTATATGGATTTTAGATGCTACCTTTTCTGTGAAGGCAGGAAATGTTTCTAATTTGCCTAATGTATAAAGCATCAAACAATATTAAATGGCTTTTAAACCATCACTTTTCAAATGAATGCATAAAGACATGGAGTCAGATTTTAGCATAAAAGAAACTGCAGTACATTCTCCCTGATCATGCTGCTTTGTCTTTAGGCACCTAAATTATTTATGATGATGTGTATACATGTTTTAATAGATGTTTAGGAATGAGGACTCTACAAACACCCTCAATTATTCAAATTACTGCTGTACTTACTGAGAATCTACTATGTGCCAGGCATAAGCAGGTTATCTTGCTTGATCATCGAAATAAGTAGGAATTTTGTTTATCATTTTACAAATGAGTAACATCAGTCCCAGAGAGTTTAAATAAGTCTTTAGAAAGAAACTAACTCAGGCAATTTGAGTAGGATCCACACTTTTAACTAAATATCTCAGACATTATTTTACGATGAGAGGTCAATTAGGAATCTAACAAAACCCAGGGATTTTGTCATTTGTACTTTTCATTTGTTTTTAGTTTATTCAGTTGATACCTTCACTGAACTACTTTGATGGATTCTCACTTGTGGACTAAGAGAATGTTAGAACAGAAAGGAGCTCAGAAACGCAACAATCTTATTTAAGAACAAGGAGACCGAGGCCCCAAAAAGTTAAGTTTGGTTCAGAGACAGAATAAGGACCAGAACTCAACTCTTCTCATACAGTTATACTTTTATATATTATATTTATGTTCAAGACATTTCGTACTTACATACTGAACTGACATTCACTAGATATTATAATTGCACATTCACGATTTATATGGAGAATTTATTTGTCTCTCCTTTTCTTATAGAACACTGCAAATGATGAACTTTTCTCTTTAAATGTATTATATATCTCAGTAAAGATTGTTTTAAAATAAATTTAGAGATTTTCTAAGAATTTTGGCTCTCAAAACAAATTTAATAGGGCACCGTAAAATAAGAAACTAACCAGATTGGTTAACTATAAATTCATTTGATCATGGATGAGAGTTTGGAAAAATAGATTAGAAGTCATCTAATATAATCATTTCATTTCAAATTTCAGAACATTTTGTCACAGAGAGGTGAAATAGCATGCCCAGGATTGCAAAACTACTCTGGGCCAAAGCTGGAACAAGGCAGTACAGTGTAGTAGTTAAGATTCCGACTCGAGTAGACTAGCTGGGTTCAATCTACCATTTACTAGCTGGGTGAGACCTTGGGAATGTTGCACAGCCTCTGCTTCTTTTCACCTCCCCCTCCCCTATCCCTACCCTCTTCTCACCCTCTTTCTCCTCCTCCTCTTCCTTCTACTTTGTGGACTATAAAGCAAGTAATAGTATAAGAATATAATGAAAATAAAAGGTGCCTAATTCATGCAAAGCACTCGAAACAGTTCTTAACATAAACTAAGTCTTAATTATTATTACTATCTTTTGCTTTCTAATTCACTGCTCTTTTACATCACATTGTAGTGGTTAATTTTCCCATGATTTTCTAGTTCATTCTTAATCAAGTTAGAAAATATTTACTTCTGGGATTTGCATTCAAGATATCATAGTACCTCATACTTGATTTAGCCTTTCTTTTCCAACTACATAGCAATGAGAACTTAATACAAAAGAGAAAAGGCAGAGTGTCAGAGATGAGCTAAAGAAATTATGTAGGCTGCAAATAAAATAGATTTGCAAACTGGTAAGGTTGGCTGTAGTCAGGCGGATCACAGATGGAAGTGCTGCGCAAGCACTAGGCAGGTTAAATGTAAGTAAATTCTCATTGGACGTATCATTTGGATATTGTAGCATGGAAGTTGAGACTATGATAAAATCTGTAAACTACCAGAGAAGATCAACAGAGCACGAAAGAAAAAAATCAAACTAATGCCAAGAGATGTCAGATGACAACTGTGAAGATCTTCAAAGTGCTGAGAGAGAATTGTCAAACTAAAAAAAAAATTTGTTAAGGACTCAGGACAAAATAGACAAAAGTTCATATGAACAAAGCTAAAAGAACTTAAGGTCCAAAGACTTCTATAAAATGAAAAATAGCCTTAGGGGAATGGTGTGGGATATAAAAAAACAAGCAGCTGACCAAACTGATGAAATATTTTGTTGAATTTATATAGTTGTTATTATAATCATAATGGGATATTGTACTTAAACTGAAGCCAAAATTTATGTGGTAAATAACAGGAACAAAAGAGCGGAGAGTTTTTTTTCAAGAGGTAATTTGCGTTCTCCAGTGGGGACCAGTGGGAGAAAGTAGAACCAAGGAAAGATGGAGATAACCACAGGGACAGTGAGAGCAGGAAATAATGTTGTTCTGTCATGTGAATGAGAAGTTGATGAGGCATCGCTGAAATGATCTTTTTATTTATCTTCTGTTGGCACAAGTACAAAGCAATTTTCACTTGTTTGGTAGTTTATGGACCTTGAATAAAATATTCATTTTAGTATTCTTCTGTCTCTGCTTTATTACCTGAAAGTTATTCCCCAGAATTTATCTTTAGCTCTTTATCCATTTCTGTGCAGCTTCTCCCCCATTTTGAACTAAGATTAATTTGATAATACTACCACTTTCCTGTTTCCTCTTTGCTTACTTTTGAATTCTATTGCAGTCTTGAATTGCTCAGTTTTATATAAAATTAGGGAAAGGTATATAGGTCTCTTCCTCGCTGATGTCCTCCCTATCCCATTTTTTCCTCCTCTGAATATTATATGTTATCTTTTTGTATATCTTTGAGTATTATACATTGGATGTAGATTCATTTTTGTATGTGTTACCATCATCAGAATATCATCCAGATATTTAATCCATTTATAATAATCTAGGGTAACTCTATCCAGTAAAACTGAGCTCTACAATGTGGTAGGCACTAGCCAAGTGTCACTACTGAACTCTTGGCTAAGGAGTGGTATTACTAAGAAACTGATACCTTTACTTCCGCATTTGCCCTGTAAGTGTATCATTACTCTTAATCATGGAAGTTTTATAAAATATCAAGGAACCTGTTTTCATATGATATAGTTGAAAATATGTTCATATGGTTCAGTCATACCATTAACAATATGGTATATTTTTAATTTTGCCTTTTTGCATGGCATCTGAAACTCTGGATGTGGCAACCTCATTTTAAACTTTAAAACTTTACAGTAATCTCTGTTTAACCTATTTTTATAAATTAATATATTGATGTTTCACTCTGCTAAAATTGTTCCATCAGATCAGGACATAACTGATAATCCAAATTTTAATTTCATGTAAGTTATAAACAAATACATGTTTGATTATTTAAATTTTACCTCAAATTGCACATATATGTACAAATTATCTGACATTTTTCCTAGTCTCTGCCTCTAATTAATACCCCCTTTTGGTGTTCCATTCTCATCCTTTTCATCTGCCTACTTTCCTTTTTCTCAAAGATTTAAACATTGCCCTATCAGCCTTGCACGCGCACCAAAGTGTTTGAGCTACTTTATTCAAACAGTTTCATAACAAAGACTACTATTGGATTATTTCCAATCTGAAATTTAAAATTATACGTCACTGTCTTTACCAGGAAATTTAAATTTTACCTTTGTGACTTATTTTATTAATAAGTTTGGGTATGTAGTTGGAAAATATGCCACTAGGCAGCTACTCAAACATTATTTTTGACAGTTCCTTGCAGCATTATATGAAGTCCTACATCTACATCAAATTGTTAAATCAAACCAAACCCAATCCAAAGTTCTGCAAAGCTGTTGCGATGGCAGTCTTCTTATAGAGTCATTAAGGAACAAGCTATCTTTGTTGCATTTATTGGCACTTGCAAATCCATATATGTACAGGCATACAGAGCCAAGTCAAAAAAGGTTTTGACCTAATGGTTTAAGGGGGAATTATGTATACAGCATAATTACAATTTTTTTTATCATCCTAGCTAATGTCCATTTGGTAGCCATGAGCCACCATAGCTGTTGAGTACTCAAAATGCCCAAATTGAGATTATATATGGAAAAAGACTTTGATATATCACTAGTAATTTTTTATGTTCATTACATGTTGAAATAATATTTTTGTTTATTTGGTTTAATAAAATGTATTTTTTAAAAATAATCTTTTTACTTTTCTAAATGTAGCTACTAGAAAATTTTAAACTACATCTATTTCTTGCATTTGCAGCTCACATTATATTTCAGGTGGATAATACTGATTTAGGTAATTATTATGGATTCAATTACATCATTAAAAAAATAAGATGTTGCAATAGGGTAATTTTATTCCCTGAATGTCTTTATATTTGCAGATGGTGGTCCTTTTTTCCCTCAGAAAACATGTTGAACAGTAACATTACATTGAGTATTTTAGACAAATTTACCACAGCCTCCTTTGACATCCTTATGAATAAACACCCTCATCTAGAGATGAAATTATCACAAGTAATCTTCAAGCATAGACTCCATTTATCAGTTATTCATTTATACTTAAATTTTAATTAATGCATTTGCAACAGTGTATGCAACCAGATTTTTTCATGGAATTATTAAACTCATTTTTTCTACTTTTGAGGCCACACTTTACTCTCAGGGTCATGATTATTTATAAAAATCCAGGAGGAGATTAAAGTTGATCCCATGAGAGTTTGATCATTTTGTTTGTTTAATTGCTCAGTTTCTATTCAAATTCATGCCCCAGTGTGACACCTTCTCCTTGGAGCTCTCTTCAGCCGCCATCACGTCATGAACTTCCTCTCTCCTCTGGACTGCTACCATCCTTGAGTAATTTTTAGTATCTTAATGATAAATTCCTCTGTCAATACACTCACGTTTTCTAATGTCTTTCAATGTTAGCTTCTTTCTGCTGCCATAAACACTAGCATCCTTCAGAACAGACACATTTTAAAGATTTCAAAGTTTGGAATTGCCCTCTCACAACTGTATTCTTCTTCTTCTTCTTTTTTTTTTTTTTTTTTTTTTTTTTTTTTTTTTTTTTTTTTTTTTTTTTTTTTTTTTTTTTCTTCTTCCTTTTTTTTTTTTTTTTTTGATTCTACAGTGCCTTTGTTTTCACTGATCTTTTAAAATTTCCTCTGTGAGTCCATTATTATTTTTTTCAATTCTCCTTGTCTTTTACCCAACTATTTTTTCTGGTAATTATCTTCATCATGATTATTCCTACTTTGCTTCCCCATTTCCCTTGCCTTGCCTAGATTCCTCAGACATCTCTATTAGCTTTGATTTGCCATCCCTTCTTTTCTTTTTACTTCTTTATTGAATTTATTTAGGTGACATCAGTTAATAAAATTATATGTCTTATTTGTACAATTCTACAGCACATCATTTGTATATCGTGTTGTGTTCACCATCTCAAGTGAAGTCTCCTTCCATCACCATTTATTTCCCCTTTACCCTCTGCTACCTCCCTGCTAACCCCTTTCCTCTGGGAATCACCACACTGTTATCTCTGTCTATGAGTTGTTGTTATTGTTTTTGCTTAAACCCTTCATCTTTTTCACCTAGGCCCCCAACCCCCCTTTAATAGCCATCAATCTGTTTGTGTGTTAGTTTATTTTGCTCATTAGCTTCCACATTGAGTGACCACCCCTTCTTTTCTGTCCTATACCTAACCCGTGCTATCTTGATCTAGCCTTTTAGATTACTGGTTGAGTTTATGAAAACAACATGCCTCCTTTTTTACTCTATAGACTGAATCAAGCTGACATAAATTTTGCCATCTCCCCAGTTCTGTACCTCATCTTTCTAAGCTTCTAGAAAGATTTCAGTACCAAAGGTTCGCAGGTGTTTTGACTGATATTGAGGTATCAAGATGAATGCTCCTAAGGAGCTCAGAGTCAAAATATACAAGAAACAAGTAAGTATAGAATGAGACACATCTTTATAGCAGAGATAGAAAATACATGTTAGGAAATGAAGGTTGGAATATTTCAGCCTCCATGAATCTTCATTAGATGATATAAGTGAAGAGAATGGTAATAAATCTTCTGTGACTGTATTGCATTGTTGGGAGGTAGGCAGTTTTAATCAGTCTGTTCTTTTACTTTGATGATGATGAATTAACTCTTTATATACACATTCCCTTTTTTGACAGGTCATGGGCATTGAGAATGGAAGACAAACAGCCATTCACTCAATGAACCACTGATTGTGTCTAACCAATTCTATTCCTATTTCATTCTTTTTATTCCATGGAATGGTACTCCTGGCCGAGGATTCTTCATCTTTAGTAACCTTGTACTCCTTTTAATAAGAGACTTTTAAACCTTGGAGGCCATAATGGCATTTACTCTTGAGTCACTTGTCTTTCCTATATATGTCCTTGGAATGCAGGAAACACATGCATCAAATCAGAGTAATCTTTTCCAAAGGAATTCATGAGAAGATACAAGTGCATCATGTTTATGAGAGCATCTGTTGTCTTAGCTAATACTTGAGAGTGTATTTTGTCTTGTGTATAGACCTAAGCAGAGCATAGCATTTAAACTTAGAGTTAAAATTAGCAGAGATTATGTGTCAAACAGGAAAAGGCTTGCCATCTTTGATCATTTGGTGAATGAGAAAGATCAACTTGGTTGTTCTTTTTAGAACTGAGAAGGTGTAGCTGTGGATTCTACTTTTGAAATACCTCATTTCAATGCAATGATGTGTATTTAGTTACATTTGGGTCAAAACAAATCATGCTTCTCACCATTCTGCTGTATGATATACTGGTAATATGACTGCCTTCTGCTCAGAGAATAAATGTGGTTAGATTCTACAATGTTTAAAAGAAAGTAGACAGGATTATTTAAATTTATTTTCAAGAAATGATCTGAACTCACTCTCCCTCTTATATTTAGGTTTAAAACATTATTTGTGGCTGGAGAACGGTGTGATGTGGAGACCCTGGAATGGTCCAAAAAGGTCTTCAGAGTACCCGTCTTAGACCATTGGTGGCAAACCGGTGAGCATTTTTTAGGCATGTACATAAATATTGCAGAAATGCTCAAATACACTGCAAGGGTTGGAGAAAACTCTGAACTCTGACCATCAGGCGCAAACTCAGGATTTGTGAGGTTCAGGTTTCAGTAGAAATAAGCAATTCTTTGATGACTGATAAAAATGTTTTCATAAATGATATTGATGCCACCAGTCTCTTGGGCCCTAGGTGTAAAACACCAAAAATCTCTTTTGCTTCTCCTCCTCTTTATTTTCTGTCTCTAGTAAGTCACTAAATCTCAAACTTTTCTTTGAAGTATCTGTTGGATTCATCCCACCTTCAGTACTCCATTGCCTTTGAGCTGTGGAAGCCTCATTATCATCCGTCCTGATCTAAATTATTCTCATCATTCATTGCTGTTCTCTCTGCTTTCCTATACACCTGCACACTCCTCCAGAGTAATTTTTTACAAGCACTGTTTATTTACAAGATGTCTTGTGGTTCTCTGGCTCCTTCCTTGAGTTCTATAAAATTGAATATGTCTGCCTATCATTCAAGGCCAAAAAAAAAAAGTGTTTTTCTCTCCAAAACACACACACACATTCACAAATATATAATATATAATTATTTATTTACCTATTTGGTTTATTCCCTATTTTCCACCCACTAAGTGATCCTTGTGAAACAAATCGTCATATTAAGTGGATAGAATATATTCTTTCATAAAACTAATAATGATAAAAAATTTTCTGCTGCTTCTTTTGAGGAATGATTGTGTACATATGTGAAAATAACTAGATTATGTGGAATCAGTTTTCCTCCTCACTAAGTGTAGAGACTTGGTGGGGTTTCCTTCTGAACCACTAAGAGTAGCTATGAGTTTTGAGAACCCTGTAGCTTTGATATGTACATTATTTTAATTCAATTATATGTGGATTAACACATCAAATCAACCCTTTTATACAACTGCTTTCAGAATCCCCATCTTATGAGCAACTAGAAAACAGTATCAAATTTGAATTAAGAACTAATAAAGTTTCTTAGCAAAAGCTAGGTCTGGGTTAAAAAATGATATAATCTAGAAGATCAAATAAGTGAGTAAATATTTTAGAACTCTTTGATTTTGATGAATTGTACTTTTTATATTATCTTGGTGAATATTACTCTGTGAAAAAGCATGTTTTCTGTATTCTTTGTAATATGTGATAAGAAGTAAATGACCACAGCAGAATATGCATTCCTTAAAGAACATGAAAATCAGAGAGAATTGCTATTCCTTCTAGTCTGATTTGCTGACTGAAGGAGAAATTTCTTAGCTAAATTATATTTGTAACTATTTAGTAAATAAAACAGTTAACACTGACTTTGGAGAAAGAGCAATGCTATGTACAGAAATACATAAAAACAAATAAAGAATTATTGCCTCTGTAAAGAAGAATGTTTATTGAATTGGTGCATCCCTTATTTATCAGGAAGCTTCAAACGGTTATTTTTCTACACTGAAGGAGAAAAACATCTAGTCACCATTTATTTTATTTTATTTTTTTAAGTTCTATGAATTTTTTTCCTTTTTTAAAAATTTTATTTAGTTATTTTTCAAGTACAGTTTTTTGTCTATTTCTCCCATCCCAGCCTCCCCTGCCCCATGCTCCCCACCTCCCTTCCATTTCCACCCCTCCTTAGTTCTTGTCCCTGTGTCCTTCCTATTTGTTGCTCCAAATCCCTCCCCCTTCTTCCCCTTAAATTCCCTTTCCTCTCCCCTCTGGTCACTGTCCCCTTGTTCTCTATTTCAGTGTCTTGGTTTTTATTCTGCTTACTTGTTTGTTTTGATATTTAGCTTCCTGTTAACGGTGCGATCATATGGTATTTGTCTTTCAACACCTGGCCTATTTCACTCAGCATAATGCTTTCCAGTTCCATTCATGTTGTTGCAAAGGGTAGTAGCTCCTTCTTTCTCTCTGCTGCATAGAATTCCATTGTGTATATGTACCACAATTTTTTGATCCATTCATTTACTGACGGGCGCCTAGGTTGCTTCCAACTCTTGGCTATTGTAAATTGTGCTGCTATGAACATTGTGGTGCATAGGTTCTTTGATATTGATGTTTTAGGATTCTTAGGATATAATCCTAGCAGTGGAATTGTTGGGTCAAAAGGCAGGTCGATTTTTATTTTTCTGAGAAAATTCCATATTGTTTTCCATAATGGTTGTACCAGTCTGCAATCCCACCAACAGTGAACTAAGGACCCCTTTTCCCATCTAGTCACCATTTAGACGGTTGTCCTTTCCTGGTCAGATGGAAGGGTTGTTTCCATCACAGAAGTGGCCTTACACAAATGCTTGTGAAGAGTTTTTTCTTTCCTCTTTAAAGTTGACTGTGCCAAAGCTTGCTGAAGTAAAGCAGCACATTAATATTTTTTTTACTTTTTATTGATATATTTGTGTATAATAGCCTCTGCAGATGTATGTAGTTAGTGCACTCAGGCTTACAGAAAAGCTCATTGGAGCCTGAGAAACAAGCATATAAGGTCCCTGGTGGGTACTAAGTTTCATGTGAATTCACAATTTTTCTTTAATGTATTGTTCAGGGGAAATTAATAGCATATTATGTCAGTGAGCTGTCACTTTAATCAGGTTTGACTGGCTGCTCATTACTGTGGAAAACAGAGTGGGTTTCTACTAATAATGACTGATTCTTTTTATTCCCCACCCCCTATTCAACTGTACAGCATTTGATATTGTGTCCAATTAAAGCACACAAATACACACATATGGGCAGGTAGGTAGTAGCTTGCTAACTAGCTAGGGCAGTTTTGTACTTCATAAAAGAAATTCACCCGAGATGATGCAGCTATCAGCTACTAACAAAATCTAGTTAGAATCTTCATTCATTTGCACTGGAAAAATTATTTCTTTTCAAAGTTATATGTGGTGGTGAACAATTGGGAAGTGATACTGAAGTTTCCATTTACAACTATTCACCCTTTCCTAAGAGGATATCAAATATGTTTTATTGTGGCCTCAATTTAATGTTAGAGCATCAGAGGGGAAAGATAACTGCTTTGTGGGTTACTGTTAACTGTTAGGGAAAGGAAAGAAAAATTCAGTATTTCTAGCATATTCATGAATTTCCTAATGTGTTATATATCAAGCAGATGGCAGAATACTTCCCCAAGAGGTACGCCAGGAAAAACTGGACAACAGTTGAGGAAATATTAAGCTTTGCCCATAGGATTCCAAATTTCAAGTTTTTCACAAGGTCTCTCTTGTTACTGACTTACAAATTGAGTTTTTTATATAGTTGCACACTCTTACGAATCTTCAATACAATGTATTATTAATGAATTTGCTCTTTGATTACATTAACGTATGTGTACACATGAGCTGTTTAGAAACTGTGATATGTAATTGAAATGATTAAGGGATATGTTAAGTAACTAAGATGTATGAATAAAATTTGATTAGTTTCTGTGACTTGGGTTATAAGAAGGCACACTGCAGTCAATCCATTTTATTACCATGTTGGTTTTGTTACCCGTGTGCAATTTGTATTAGCAACAACGCATTTCCAGTGACTAACATCCTCTTTTGGCCCATTAGTATCAACTTCAATATCTGATTTGAATAATATTCAGATTCTAAATTGAGAACTAATCTATGAAAAATTCAAGAGCAGATCAATTCCTTATAGGGGTATTTAATAAAGAATCGCTGCTGTTCAGCACCACTGAAGCATTAAGCCCTTGTTTTGAATTATAATAATGTAAACGTTTAATGCTCTCATGAAGGAAATCAGTCTTGTTAAATGTAGATAAGTGGGTTCTATCTATTAGATTTATAAATCTGCATAAAAGGTGATTTTTGTCATTCACTCAGATCTTCTATCTTCACAGTAACTTATAGATAAGGTGATTGAAAGCATCTGGATTATTGACTAAAATTTTTATTTTGTTTTTGACATAAAGATTGAGAGACAGAAATGTTATAATTATAATTAAAATGAGAAAATTAGGTAAACGGATACTTGTTCCATCGTGATATAGAAATTCACATGCCAAAAAAATAAACAGAACTTCATCATCCTCTGGTGAACACTGCACTGTTGTACATCATTTCAGTACTAAGAGCAGCTTTTCTTAAAATCAGACAGGAAGCACAATTTTATAGAGGAAAAACTGTCAGTTTGGTGCACAGTGTCCTTCATAAGAATTTTTTTCACTTAAAAAGTTATAGTCACTTAAGATGACTATAAAGGAATTGTTTTTCTTATAAATGAATGACCAAGCACAAAAAAATGAATTTTAGAGACTACTATAACCAAAAACATATTAGAATTTATTCCTTTTAAGGTTTCTTCTTTCTCCTGTTCCTCCTTTCTCTCTCTCTCTCTATCTGTCCCTCTTTCCTTTTCTTCCTTCTCTCCCTCCCTCCTTTCTTCCTTCCTTCTTTTCAATTTGTTATATGACATGGCACAGGTTTAGAAATTATTATAACAAAACAGTTTGACATCCCACTTTTCAATGTTATATAATCCTAGGTGGAAACTCTTTATTCATTCACTTGCTTTCAGTTAAAGAAGACAATGGCTACAAAGTTAGAATATTCAAGTTTCATAATGGCATTTATAAAAGACAATTTGGTAAATGGGTTAGATTAAAAGAAAACATGATTCTTCCCATCTGCTAGCAGCACATACCTGTGTGGTTTCTGTGAGAAGATATAGATTTCATGTTGAAAGTGTTTCAAATGCCCTTATGCTCAGGAGATGCAAAGCAATTGAAATGATCACCAACTTGAGCAGCACTAGATGACTTTGTTGTTGGTTTACTTGTCTTGTTTTCATCACTTCAATGGATGACCAAACTTCATAGAATTTTTAAAAACCTATGCAGGGATTTCAGTGAGAAAGCATAGTCATTTAATGGATTGAGATGTTGGTGACAATTGAAGTTATCTATCTTACTTTTTTCCTTGGGCCATTCTTTGCTATGTTCTTATATCTTGAAGTAATCACAGTAATTCA